TCTGTGGGACAAGCCGTGCGTGATGCCAACAGATCAAGAGCCTTTGTACATGGCGGGCTGTGCCCCTCTTGGTACAGTGGTCTCCTCCATTCTGAAGCCAGGATACAGGGACTTCCACCATCATTCCGAGAGATGCTGTTGGTCCACCTTGGTGCCTTAAATAATAACTCCTCCGCTGGCCTCTCCCACTTCCCCTCCAATATGCTGAGCCCCCACCCCGGCCCAGGCACGAAGGGCTCTTCCAGCCTCTATGCATTGCACATGCTGTTCCCTGTGGCTGGGATGCCACTCCTGCTCCTCTGCCTGATGAGTGTCCTCTCAGCTTTAGACTCCCTCTGTCCTCCTCCAGCTCTTACACAGTTGTCACTCATTTCAACCCCATCTCGGTCCCTTCAGTGTCGAGAGGAGAGCACTTGTTTATCTCCACGCACATCTCCGCTCACCCAGGAGATCCACTGTCACCCTCGGGATACTTGAGATCTACTTGTCACTCTTCTGTACCTGCTGTGTCCCGGGGAGGCTGACCCACATTCACTGCACCCACCACATCAGAGGGTGGAGGCCAGGAGGACAGGTTCCCCGTCCTCTTGGCTGTGCCCCAGGAAACACTCCCTCCTCTGTGTGACCCCCAGTGTCACATCCCAGGGCTGCGTGCTCTCCTGGGGCCTCTCCACGCGCTGACACACCTTTGAGAAACATTCTTTTATTGACCTTCTCCAGATCCCTGATTTCAGGAGACAGTCTCTTGGTTCTTGCCACCCTGACTGGTCCCCGCTGCTTCAAGCATCCTGCTCCTCACAGTAGTTTTCAGGCAAATCTCTCTCCCTGAGGCAGTGAGCTCTGCAGGGCGAGGCCAGCGTCTGGGCCAGTCTGCTTCTTCATGCAGAAAGAGGACACAGGGAGGACACTTGAGAAATGTCCTTGACTTGGATTGCACCAGAACATAATAATCGCACACACATTGGAATTGAGTGAATTTTGAATCCACTCATTCACCTACTCATTCAACTGCAAATGCTCCTTGAATGTCACACGTGTCTGGCAGGGGTGAACAAGACAGAATGGATGGCTTCCTGGGGTTTGCGTTGTGATGAGGAGACACAGGCACCAAAAGCAAAAGCAAACGGACACCTGGAATCATTTCAGATGAATGCTCTGAAGAAAAGCAGGGCACAGGATACACAGTGACAGGGCCACTGGAGCAGGGAAGGCTGGGAGGAGGCCAGGTCGGGGGTGCTCCGGTGCAACACACAGGCCGTGGGAGGAAGGACCTTGTTCTATTGAAGGACAGCAGGGAAGAAGGAGGCTGCAGCAAAGTGGATGAAGGGATGATGCAGGGGATGGGTGGATACCACCTTATTGAAAGGCCCCTTCCACCTCTGAGATTTGAGGACTCCTGGGCCTGACCCAGGTGGGGGCCTACTAGCCAACAACTTCCTGAATCCGTGCAGGTGAAATCCCCGTGTGAGATGCTGCTCTCCATGTTCTCCTAATTCATCCTCACAATCATCTACCTCCATTCCACCCATGAGAAAAACAAGGGTCAGAGAAGTTAAGCAATCTGCCCAAAGCCACACAGAGTCAGGGAAAGAACTGGAAAGAAACCCAGATCTGCCTGAACTGCGGCCCAGCAGGTGATTTCCCAACACTAGTGCACTCATTTGCCGGGGACCCCCTAGTCAGGGACATCAGCCTTACAGAAATAGTCTGGTAACAAGACCCAGAGCTTCTGTCCAAGGGTAGGTGCACCCTTTGGAAGCTGGGGTTCCCCCAAGCTCTCTCCACAGTCCTCCGCTGTCTGTAAAGGGAACACTAGCAGGTGAGCAGGCAAGCTGCACCATGCCCACGTGCCCCGACACTCTTGCAGGGCCAGGCACGTTGGCTAATGGGTATCATTTCAGCCCTTTCAGTTCTAATAGACACTGTGCTGCCATAAAGACTGTCATTTCCTGCGGCTCACGCAGATAATCAACATGCTGGCCGCCTGGAGGGCTTGGAACAGCAGGCTCTGGGCACATCTGCGAAGATAGAATCATCTTCTCATTCTCTGCCCTTCCAGGCCTTCCCCACCGGACACTGCCCTTAAATCTGAGGGCATCGCCCTGGGTCCCAGGAGGCCCAGCTCACTGCAGAGCTCGGGGAAGAACCATCTTGTCTCCGTCTCACTTCAACTCTTCAGAGGCATGTGACCTTGGACACGGCACTTTGCCACCCAGAGCCTCAGTTTCCTCACTGTAAAGTGGGGCAAGTGTGCCTAACTTGCTAAGGTGGCTTAAGTGAGATGACACTTTTTAAACACCTGCCACATGGTGGGTGCTTGGACGTCAGCAGCTATGACATCAGTGGTACTGGAGATGGTAATTATGTTTGTCACATTTTGCAAATAAGGGAAACTGAGGCCAGTGAAGGAAACAGGCTTCCCCAAAGTCAAACAGCAAATCAGTGGCAAAGCTGAACCTATTACTTGGGCTTCCAGGTCAGGGATTTTGCATGACTTACAGATCCCCAGGAATGACTTACTGAATCCCTTCCTGTGGAGGATGGTCACATTATCTCATTTAATTCTCAGAGAGCTGACGAAGTGGGCATTGTTATCTTCCTTACTTTGCAGGTAAGAAGGCAGGGCTCTGAGAGGTGGGGTGACTTGCCTAAAGTCACACAGATAGCCAGTGGTAGCCCTAGTTTGACTGTAGGTGGTCCGGGTACAGAGCCGGAGCTCCCAGCCTCTGTGCAGTTGCCCATAAGGGTGACCTTGGGGAGTGGAGATGGAGCCCCAGCTTTCCCACAGGTGCACACAGGCAGCTCTGAGATTTCTGCCTGGCCCAGGCTGGGCCATTGTTTCCCCCACCTGATACGACTCCAAGGACAAGACCTGGTGTGCGTCCTGCGGCCCACACCTCACCAGCTGCGCCCCAAGTTTCAGTCCACAATCCCAGAAGGCAGAACATCCTTGGAAATCTCCAGCGTGTTTCCAGTTCTCCCAGACAGGGAAATTGAGGCCCAGGGAGTCTGTGAGGTGTTCGCCAAGCAGCCTGGTGAAGAGAGGTGTGAGAGGAGGGGGAAGGGACCTCCATACAACACCTAGGGGAGATTCAGGACTGTCCTGCAACACACCTACCAAGACAGACCCCCCCCCCAACTCGCCATGTTGCTACAGCCTCACAGCAAGAGAGGATCTGCAGCACTACTTTGCAGACGGAGATATCAAGGCTCCCAGAATCAAAGCAACTTTCCAGCTTCACATGAGTAAGTGGGAGAGCGTGGACGTCCACCCAGTTCAGGTCCCAATGTCCAGGCAGCTCTTTCTCCCTTGCTTCATTTCTTGCTTTATGGGTTCTTTCTCTCTTTTCTCTCTCATCTTTTCCTCAAGCTACTGCCCCCTCACTCCTCAATTCTGCTCTGCCAGAATCACCTTCTCATTCTCTGCCCTTCCAGACCTTCCCCACCGGACACTGCCCTTGAGTCTGAGGACATCGCCATAAACCCTTCTTTTTCTGTACTGGCCTTTGAATCCAGGGGTGCTCTACCAGTAAGCTACATCAGCCCTTTCTATTTTTTACTTTGAGGTAGTATCTAGCCAAGTTGCCCAGTCTGACCTTGAACTTGCGAATCTCCTGCCTTGGGCTCCTGCACCTGACCACTCTAAATATCTTTTTTTTTTTTTTTTTGGTACAGGGGATTGAACCCAGGGACCCTTAACCACTGAGCCACATCCCCAGCCCTTTTGTGTGTTTTATTTTGAGACAGGGTCTCACTGAGTTGCTTAGGACCTGGCTAAGTTGCTGAGTCTGGCTTTGAACTCGAAATCCTCCTGCCTCAGCCTCTTGCACCACTGGGATTACAGGCATGCGCCACTGCATCCAGTCACTCTAAACACCTCGAAGGCAGGAACGTCATTTGATTGGCGCGCTGCTGTGTGTCTGGAGCTGTCACGACTACAGACACAAGTATGGAAACCAGTGGCTGCTTGTTGGCTTGTTGAATGTACTGTAATTGGGCTACCATTTTTTTTTAAACCTGAGACCAGTGGTCAGCATCATCAGTTTGGAGATTTCTGTTACTGTAGAAGGACTTCTTGAGCAATCAGTATGCAAATATGAAAGTGAAGAGGGGAAAGTAGTGTATTGTAAAAGTATTTTTGTTTATTTCTCATTATTAAGATTGCTCTACTTCTTGGTATCTGGTAAATCCTTGGAAAAGGGTGGGTTGATTTGCATAATAATCCCAGAGGTCATCCCACTGGGAAGGGTTAGGATTCTGATCCCTGTGATTGAGAAAGAAGTTTACATCTTCTTTCTGAGTTAGATATGAACGGTAGAAGCTCTGAGTGAAGAAGCCCAAAGAAGTTACAGAGACCGACAAGAGAACTCATCTGAGGACGAGGATGGACTAGTGATCTGAGCTCAGCATTAGGGGCGAGGACAGACACACACGGGACTTCAGTGAGCTTTTTGGTGAAAGATCACAAGACACTTAAGAAAAAACTCCAACATGACAAAGATACACCTGTCCTCAGCCTCCTGAGCATAGTGCTGGGTCTGCCGTGGTTTCCACTGGAACTGACCCAGCAGGCCACCACCACCTTGGTTGACCAGCATCCAGGAGGATGTGCAGGGCCCATCTTTAACCCCACATCATGTGTCAGGAGCTGAAACATCAGCACTAGATGGGGTTTTGGCTCCCCTTCCCTGTACCTGGAGTTTGGAGGCAGAGCTGGCTTGCTTTAGATGAGGTCTTGAGGTACCCGGGTCAATTCAGGAGGCCGGAGGCCCTGGAGAGATACTGGACTTCCTCCTAGTGAAGGCTTGGGGTGAGCAATGAATGGTGCCCCGAGTTAGTGAAGCACTTATACAAGTTACAGAATGTGTCCATGGTAACCACTCTACCACCAGTGACAACAGCTGTCCAAGCCGACAAGTGACACACACAGGAGAGTCCTTTTCTGGAGCAGAATATTTTTAACCTTAATCATAACCACAATTGGGCCCACACACGGCAGGCTGCAGTTTACAAAGCCCTTCTCCATTCATGTTCTGAGCCTCACGCCAGCACTGTGAGAGAGCAAGGCAGAGGGGTGGTCCCTAGGAAATGGAGGCTCAGAGAGGGACCTGACTTGCTCTTGGTCACCAACAAGTCGACTGCCTTCCAGGGATGCCAGAAGCAAGCCCCTGCCCTGCCTGCTCACAGCAGCATCAGGACCACGATAGCAGTGATCATGAGGACTCCAGCCAGGATGCAAAGGCCCAGGAACACGAAGTCACTGGTGTCCTGAGCCACCACGGTCACTGGGCTCTCTAGTGTCTCCACCTCCTCCCTGGGGGGTGCCTCCTGAAGGTGCTCAGCAGTGGCAGCATAAGGTCCAAGCCAGTCAGAGCCAGACAGCAGGTGGACAGAAGCCTCCTTGCGCCGCGGCTCACAGCGGACCTCGTACTCATGGATGTCCTCTATCCCAGGGGCCGAGAAGTCGATGTACAGCACACTGACGATCACCGAGGTGTTGTTTCTCCTCTGTGGGGTCACAGGGCACTTGCTGTCACCTGATGGAGCACAGGCTGACCTGTTCCCTTAGGCATATATAGACCTGCTTCTGGTCCTCACTCAGCCACCCACTCCCTTTCACTCAGAGCCTTGATTCCCCATCCAGAAAAGGGGCCCTAGGGGCATGGGCTGTCTGGAAGGAGAGGATCAGATCTGATGAGGTGAGGTTGATGAAAGGCGGTAGCAATAACCATGGCCAACAGTTGGGGGCTCATTTACCATGTTCGAGTTCTGTAGCCTAAGTGCATTATCTCATAATCCTCATTAATATCCCTATTTTACACATGAGGAAACTGAGGCCCAGAGGTTAACTCTTCTCTGGGGTCACCTAGCATACAAGTGACAGAGACCGTATTCTCACCCAGAACTGTTCAACGGTGCTACTCAAACCAAAAAGCATCTAGACAGTCCCCATCTGTGACAAATGTGGGTGACCACCAAGGCCAAGAGAGCAATGATTTGCCCGCAGTGAGGCTCAGGAGCAACTCTCCTGCCTCTCAATTAGCAGCTTTGTCCCTAGGGTTGTGGGGCCTTCCTTCTGGAGGCTTCTCTCCCAGTTGTGTGTGCAGTACGAGTCCCTGCTCTCAAGTCACTGGACATCCAGAGACAGTACCCTAGGGCAGGGAGGAGGCACTGTGGAATGAGATGTTGGGGAGCCTGCTGCCTCCTCACCCCAAGAATGACGGAGGCAGGGGTCAAGGTACCCTGTGTTGGCGGGGCACCAGGGCCTGTGGGGCAGCACTTCAGTGAGCAGTCTGTGGGGTCTGGAGGCTGGGGCTGCAGTGACCCAAGGCCACTCCTCACCATGTCACATTTGTAGCAGACTCTTTGGGCCACCCAAACTGTCTCTTCTGAGGGGGCTGCTGCAGAGGCAGGACTCCTAAAAACTGAAGCCACCTAAAATAGGTAGCAGCACAGGCAGTAGGAAGCTCGCATCTCCCAAGACTGGGCGACCCCTTGGGAAGGGTTGAAGGGTATGACCATCTGGAGTTTTATAGACTAGGTGACTTCTGGGATCTCTCTGGGCTTCCAAAAGACCCTATTCCTATGTCCCCAAGGGAGCCTCAGTCTGTCTGCCTCTATACCCTGAAAGGGACTTTTGTCCTGGGGCTTGGGGACATGGGACGAAGCAAGACAGGAGCCAAGAGTAAAACGGGACCCAGTAAGAAGGCTGAAGTCAATCTACATAATGAAGAAAGGAGAGAAAAACCATATAAGATGAGGAGGGGGTTCAGCAGGGGGTGGGGGTCTTTCCTGAGTAAGAGCCTTTAGAAGGACATGTGGTTATCTAGGTTGGGAAGTCAAGTCTCTAGGGTTTTCAAATGAGCACAGAAAGATTGGGCTTTCATTTTTTATTATTGCTTTTGGCCATTTGAGCCTCTTTGAAAGCAATTCTATGTAGAGACGGGCCTTATGGGTCTGGTGCTGGTAAGGGTTACACTAAGCATCTATGATCCAAGGTTTTCAAGTTTTACATTTCCAAGCTACTGACTCCATGATTCTCTGGTTCTGCGGCCCTGAGTTCTGAGGTGGTTCTGTTTCTGTCTATTGGTCCTTGGTTCTGGGAGTTTCTGGGATTTCTTTGTCTCCATCTTTCCATGACTCTGGAATGTGGTTCTGTTCCAAGAAAATCCCCAGGGACTCAGGGCATGGAGCAAGGATGAGTGCAGAATGTCTTTGCAGCAAAGACCAGCCCCCCTGCACTTCTCCTCTCAGAACCAGGAGGCAGAGGAGCAGACTGGAAGGACCAGAGGCCTACAAGTGGCTCCTGCTGCAGGACGAATGGCATCTGCTGGAAAGCCCGTGATTTCTGCCAAGTCAGCCCAGATTCCAAGACTGGAGAGTGTCTGCAACAGAGGGCACCGTTCCTTCTCTCACCACTGTCTTTCCTGATCTCTTCCTGGAGGGTGCTTAGGGCACTGGTCAGTGACTCTCTGGGGGCCCTATGCCTGGGTTCATGGCCTTCAAAATCCAAGGATAGTAGAAAAGTTTCATTTGTGAGCCTCACAGCCTTTGGAGGGAAGTGGATCCTGTTATTTGAAAGATGCTTTTGTTTGTGGAGCCCTGGGATGGATTTGGATCCCAGGTTGGGGAGGGTGGGCAGGAGTGAGCCTGACAGCCTTGTGTACTAAAGAAGTAGGGACTTGGGTGCCTGGGGGGGGGGCGCTCTGAGGGAGAAAGGGAGGGAGAAGGGGAGGAGCAGCAAAGATCTTAAGTGGTGTTCACCAACAGGCCATCTGTAGGGGGTGGGGGTGGGGGTGGGGACTGGGGATTGAACCCAGGGGCACTTAACCACTGAGCCACATCCCCAGCCCTATATTGTATTTTATTTAGAGACCAGGGTCTCACCGAGTTGCTTAGGGCCTTGTGAAATTGCTGAGGCTGGCTTTGAACTCACAATCCTCCTGCCTCAGCTTCCTGAGCCACTGGGATTATAGGTGTGTGCCACCATGCCGGGTTTTTCAGAGCAGCACCTGGGGAGGCTGTAGGTTGTCACTGGGCTGTCCAGCAGGACCCCCTCTTCAATCCCTCCACCTGAGTCCTTTGCTATGTCTACACTAAGCAAAGATGTTGGGATAAATGAAGCCAAGAAGGGGTGAGCTCTGCATCTAGCCTTGTGTACCCCCCCCCAGAGCCAGAGGAGAAGCTGGGGCAGGCAGGTGCCTTTCTGCAGGGCCAAAGCCCCTCCCCCAGACCCGTGCTCCTCCTCTCCTTCCTCCCCATCTCACCCCTACCTGAGATTCAGTGCCACAAGTGTCAAAGCGAGCCTGGATCCGGAAGTTGTTGTCGACCTCCTGGGCAGCACAGTTTCGGCTACCTAGGTAGACCTTGGTCCGCTCCAGTGGGGCCAGCACCTGAGCCGAGATCAGGATCTGGAAGTCCGTGCGTGAGCAGCTCACGTTCATGGGCACCACTGGAAATGGGAGGGAAGAGCTAAAGGCCTAAGGGGCAGGCAGTCTGACCCCTCCCTCCTCAACCCCTCCCAAAGGGTAGTGGATGGGGAGAGAGGCCCAGGAAGAGAAAGGCTCCTGTGGAGTCCTACAGGGCACAGCATGGGGTGTTCACATGCACCACTCTGTTAACTCCATCGGACTGGAAGCATCGGAAGGACAGGCACCATGTCAGGGATTTATGCTTGCCTGGGGTCCTCTGAGTCCAGGGCAGGCTGGACAGGCCAGCGAATGCTGAATGAATGGTGGAGTGAGGAGTAAATGAAAATTCTCAAGTATAATAAAAGCACCTCATGCCAATTACTTTGCCATGTGCCCACCAATTCACTTAAACACTCATTCAGTCATTCAATAAATAGCTGCGCACCAGAGTTACAGAAATGGGGGCGGGAGTTTAATCCCTGCCCTCGTGGAGCTTACATTCTAGTTGATGCAGAAGGCAATAAATAGGTAGAACACACATAGCACAGAATGGAAAATCAAGCCAGGATGGAAGACAGGAAGCGCAGTGTGGGGAGGAAGAAGGAGAGTTGCAGGGGTTTTGGGTGCATCTGGTACTGGGATTGAGCCAGGGCCTTTCGTGTGGTAGGTGCTAGGTGAGTGCTCTGCCTCTGAGCTGCATCCACAGGCTAAGAATTGCAGTTTTGAAGAGGGTGGTAAGGGGACCCCCACTGTGGGTGGACCCCATGAGGTGGATACCACTAAACCTATTTTAGTTTTGGAAACTGAAATTCTGAGAGGTGAAGTTGGTTGCAGTGGCCGCGTTGGGATTTGAACCATTGAGTCTATAGAATTCCCAAGTCCGACGTCTCTCAGGGGGCTCTTGCTGCTTGACAGCTCCCCGAACACCTCCTAGTCAGCACTGTGTGTATGACTCTGAGCATCATATGCACTTGTGTGTGTGTGTGTGTGTGTGGGTGTGTATGAGGGTGTGTTGTGTGTATTTGTGTGTATACAGGGTGCAGGGGCAAATGTAGGGGAAAGGAAGATGGTGGCTGGTGGGAGGAAAAGAGACTGGCCTCTCAGGCCTCTGCGGGAAATGCCTCAGACACATTTCAGCCTCTGGTGTCTGGGCAGTCAGGGATTTATGGGCTGGCTGTCTCCCACAATGATCTTGGTGGCGCTGAACTGTGTGTCACCCCTGATGGATGCTGCGGCTGCCCTCCCAGTGGGGAGGCCGCCCGCAGTCTGGCCCCATCTGGAACCTGGCCCTGCACAAGTACCCCTGTCTGACCCTGGGCTCCCAAAGGGATCTGGGGGGAGGGAGGGGAGTCCCTGCACTGAAGTCCCTGGAACAGGAGCCAGGATTAGAGCTGCCCCAACCTTCAGTCTCTCGAGGCATGGAAAGAAGTGGCTGGTCTTAAATCACACAGAGCTGGGAGAGGGCCCAGGACTGAGAACAAGCCTATCACAGGCAAGAGGGACTCTAAAGATCTTTCAGTCCATGTTTTCATTTTGTAAGTGGAAAACTGAGATCCAAAGAGGAAGGCAGATGCCAGCTCCCTGGGGCAGAGCCCCAATGGCACCTGGCTTTCTGGAGCATGCCCTCCCCCCACCCAGTGCAGAATCGGGGGAGGGGATCAGCCTGCAGAGCCACAGCTGTCCTGCCCGCGGGGATGGAGCCCACTGGGGCCCAGAGGGGTGGGTCTGCCCAAGGTCACCTCCCAACCACCGGCTTGCTGCAGCTCTGTTTCCTTCTCCATCGCCAGGGCCCCCAACTCCCCTGTTGTACGGGGTAAAGAGAAAGGAAAGAGGTTGGGGTTGTGCTCAGTGGCAGAGCACTTGCCTGGCATGTGTGAGGCTCTGGGTTCAATTCTCAGCACCACATATAAATAAAAGGTCCATTGACAACTAAAAGAAAAAGAAAAGAAAGAGGAAAGATCTTTTGAATGCTGAATAGTCTGAGACCCTTGAAGGAAAGATGTCCTCAGAGCCAGGCATCTGGAGCATTTATCAACCCCTCTTACAGAGGAGCCCACTCGGGTGGTCAGCAAATGGCAGCTCTGGATGTGGTTCTGGTCTGTCCAGCCCTGGGATCCCCTCCCCATGTCCTGCTCAGGCACACACAAAGGCAGGAGAGTGGGTTCTAGTCCTGGCTGTGCCATGGACTGCCCGTGTGACCACAGTGAAAGTGAAGTCCCTTCCCTCCAACACCCCCAGTTCCATATCTGCACAGCAAGGAGCTTTGCCCAACTAGGCAGAGGACAGATAGGTCCAGAGTGCAGGCATTTCTAGGGCCATGATCCAGAGAAGGGTGGTGGGAGGAGGGGAGAAGAAGTGGCCTCTCTTCACTGACAAAACTAACCAACACCAATACTGGCTTCCTCTGCAGTAGACTATGGCCATCTGACTGAGTAAACCAATGAAAGACAAGAGAAAATCTTGTGAGAGCTTCTGGAAAAGCTTTTTGCTTTCCTGGGACATGTGGCTGGCACATCTACTACCCTCTTCCAAACCTGAACATGGACAGGATGTCTGGCAGAATACTGGTGGCAGCCATGTTGCAACCATGAGGCCGAGTCTGCCAGAAATAGCACTTGGAATCCTGTGGAGTCCCTGGATCAATAGGTTGCTGCCTAGCTCCAGACTTTTCTTTGTGTGAGGAAAAACTAGTGCCATTTGTTCAGTCAGTATTTCCAAATGATACAAACAGGGCTGTAGGCATCTCCATGGCTCTGCCAGTTGTTTCCACAAACAATATTGCCACATTTTGTGTAGTACCCCCTGGATCCAGGGGATCGACCACAGTAAGAGAGAGGCCAGGGCTCCATGAAAGAAGGGGCCAGGAGGGAGGAGTTAGAATGGTGGAGGTCAAGCTGGAGAAGGAGGGTCCTGCCATAGTAGAAAGAAGCAAGGGCCATCCTGGTGTGGTCTCAAGGTCCCAGGAGTTGGCAGTGGTGTGCCCAACCAAACAAGGGCTGGCAGAGGCCATCCATGGGATCAGAACGAGCTGGCAGGATGGAGGGAGAAGGCCGCACAGAGCTGGCTGCAGAGCCTCGCCTTCCCCCTACTCCAGTGCCCCCACGCCCTTGACCCCAGCTGACCTCCAATGTAGGCCACGGAGAAGCCCCTGCCGGTGCTGCTGCGGTCCGTGTGCAGCAGAAGCAGGAGCTGGTTGTGGCTTGAGGTGATGGGTGGTGGCAGATGGTGGCCACACCAGTTTCCCAGCTGGGGTGCCTCCTCACTGGCCCCATCAAAGGCTGCCAGATGGTCGAAGTCACAGGTCCTGGTCAGGCTGTTGGGCTCCTCTAGGTCCAGATCCAGGAAGAACACCTTGACGCGGTAGCCAGGAGGCAGGCGGATGGTCCAGTGGCACCGGATATTGTTGGGGTAGGAACTGGGGTATTGGGGGCTGGAGAAGTTGCCTCGCACAGCCATGTACACCTCCTGGCATTCTCCTGGGTGGGGGAGAATGGGGTGGGAGGAGCATCGGAGAGGAGGGTAAAGAAGGCCCCCTCTGCTGTGCCAGCTCAGAGAGGGCACTGCAGGGGCCCCATAGTGACCACCCTGGCAGGTCTGGACACCACAGCCAGCAAAACAGACAACCGATCCTGAAGTCTGCTTTAACTTGAAACTAAGCTGGGTACCGTGGCCCATGCCCATTATCCCAGCGGCTCAGGAGGCTGAGGCAGGAGGATCGAGAGTTCAAAGCCAGCCTCAGCAATGGCAAGGCCCTAAGCAACTCAGTGAGACCCTGTCTCTAAATAAAACACGAAATTGGGCTGGGGATGTAACTCAGTGGTTGAGTGCCCCTGAGCTCAATCCTTGGAACCAAAAAATAAAAATTAAAATAAATTTAAATAAATAAATAAACTGAAACTAGCTGAAAGCTGGGACTTTCGTTCCAAATGCAACCCCTTCAAGAATGTTGGTCCTGTTAGGAATTCAGTAGTAACACCTCAAATATGAACTCAAAGTTAAGTCCAAGCTCCCTGGTAGACAGACAAGGCAGCTCAGACATAGCCTTGCCCTTTTCTCACAACCCTTTCCTGTGGATTGACCAAATGTCCTCCCCATAGTCATAGGTGCACTCCTCGTTGCCTTCCACCTCCTTTTGGCTGAAGTCTGCTTTAACTTGAAACTAAGCCGGGTCACCAGCCTGTGGTGCTCGTGGGCAGTGGTAGAATCTGTAAGTGACCCCTATGGGAGGAAGCTGGGCCACTGGGAACAGAGCCTTAAAGATCATATTGGCCCTGGCCCCTCCCTGTCTCTCTGTTTTGCTTCCTGGCTGCCATGAGTGAGCAGCTTTGTTCTACCACATGCTCCTGCCACGCTGTTCTGCCTCGCCACAGTCCCAGAGACCACAGGCCAAGTGACCATGGGCAAAAGCCTCTGCAACTGTGACCCCAAATCAACCTTTCTTCCTTATACGTTATTTTGTCCCAGTGACAGAAAGCTAACACACCCATGCACCTCCTACATTATTACAGCCTTACCAAACAACTTCCAGTACTGTGAGCACACCAGATACTGTCTTTCTTGCCTTTACAAACCCTGTTCCTCCTGCTTGGAACACCTTTCTGCCTCTGGTGAAGTCCTTCAAGGCATTGATCAATTCTCTCCTCCTCCAGGAAGTCCCCCATGATTCTTACTGTTAGCACACGTCACAATGGGCTATCATTGTCTTAGCCATCACCCTCACTGGACTGTGAACTCTCCAAGCATTCATTATTCCTTTGTACACATATTAATTGAGTACCGACTATAAGCTACATAAAAAGATAAGCCCATGAGGAACTCGCAGTGAGGCAGGAGGAGACTGATATATAAATGACATGTACAAATGATAAGCACTAGATCATGGTGAAAAAAAATTTGCTAAGGAGTTGAGGAAGGGATTCATTCATTCTTTCTGAGTGAATGGGGGGGTCTTCACAGAGGAAGTGACATGCTTATGCCTTGCTATTGGCCAGGAAGTGTGAACTAGAGCATCCAGAGAATGCAGAAAGCCCAAGGCCCCAAGGGACAGAAAAATGTGGCCTCTAGAGGCATACAGGGAGGCACAGCATCCGGGTGAAGCTCCTCCTACCTGAGAAGTAATGGGCCTTGAAGCCCCGGCCTCCAATGTTAAAGTCGGACTTGAAGACCACCTGCAGCTCGTGGCCCAATGACACGAGGGTGGGGGGCCTGGTGCCACCACAGAAATGGTGCCCGTGGGCAGGACCAGGCCCCCCCAGCACTGCCACGTAGTCATAGGTGCACTCCTCATTGCCCTCCACCTGGAAGTCCACAAACACCAGCTTGATGGTGGCAGGCCCTGCAGCCCGGATCACCCAGCGGCATTCCACGTTGTTGGGGTAGTTGTTGGGGTACTCGGGGCTGGTGAGGACCCCTGATAGACCAGTCAAGACGCCACCGCACACATCTGCAAGGGAGCCCACTGGAACTGAATTTCCCTCCCCACACCTCCTGGCCTCCTCCCTCCCTGGGGAACCAGATGCCCCCAAATGCTGCTCCCACAGGGATGTCATGGGAACCTCATCACCGTCCACTGAGAGCTTGGTACACCACAGGCAGAGGCCCAGCACTCAGCACCTACTCTACCTTTTAAAATCTCTACCCTAACCCTGGCGGGCATGTGTTGCTGTTTCCCAGGTTAAGTAAGAAGATCAAGGAGCAGAGCAGGTAAGTAACTCACCTGAGTTTGGGTTCACTGGCAAGACCCCGGGGACAAAGATCAGAGTGCAAGGAGTTTATCTGAGAGATCTGGGAACATAGGTGTGAGGGAGGGAGACAGGTATGGACAGGTAGCTGCTGAACCCCATGAGGAGCTCTGGGCCAGAGGGCACAGTTTATGTCACGAGGGCACTGGGCATTTACACACCAGTTCCCAGAGTCCAGGATGGGGGCTGCTGGGACCGGGTGACCTGCTGAAACTTCAGAGATAACAGGTTGGCAGGATAACAGTCTAAGATTCTTATGTTTTAGCATTCCACGGTTCTGTGCCTCTAAATTCAGCAGGGACTGGGCGTTCCACCCAAGTCCCCGGTGTTGCTATGAGTGGACCCTGGGAACCAGGAGCCTCTGCCGTTGTCTGTTGCTTGAGCTGACCTGACCGAGCCTTTGGTCTTGACCTTGGGAGAAGGGAGAGCTTTGAGTCTGCACAGAAGCCTGAGGACATGAGGAAGGAGTCAAGGAGAGAGGCAAGAAGAGCAAGGCCTTGGCTCCCTGCGCCATCCTGTGCTGCAGGTGACATGCCTGCTTGAGGGAGTGAGGGTTAGAGACCCCACATATGGGGCCAGTTCTAAGGAAAGGTCCTGGGAGGGGGAGTTGCTGCTGCATACAGACCTATGTGCACCTGCCCCGGGCCCTGGGCCTCCCTGTGCCAGGAAGGAGCGGGATGTGGCAAAGCGTCAGCAGCAGAAGCAGCAGCAGGGTCCCCAGCAAGCTGGTGCCATGACATAGAACAAGAAGGACAAGGTAGAGAGCACCCAGGCCTCATTCCTGCACGTGATGAGACCTTCTGGGGGCTCCAGGAGCAACAGAGAGAGGCACAGGACTACTGCCTGAGCGTGGGAGCCCATGGCCACCAGGTCAGTGAGGTCATGCTGCCCCAGCCTAGAGGTGGTGCCCAGGAACAGAGTCAAAGGTCACAGCACAGCTTTCACACTCAGGTACAGAGACCTCCCCTGACCCCACTGCCCCCCTCCCACCTCCATTCCGGAGCCAGCCTCCCACCCGTAAGCCCCTTTGACCTTTCTGGTAGCCTGCAGAAAAGCCACGGCTGGCCACATGCTTGTCGGAATGGAAGACGACAGCCATGACGTGCCAGGAGGAGGTGAAGGGGGGCGGGGGCACCTGGCCACAGAACCTCCCCAGTAGATTGCCCTTGTCTCCAGAGGCCCCGTTGTAGATTTCCAGGAAGTCGAAGCCACAGGTGTCATGGTACTCCAGGTCAAAGGCGTGGAAGGTGAGCAGCACGGAGGACCCCTCGGCCACCACAATCAGCCAGCTGCACTCCGTGTTGTAGGGGTACAGACTCGGGAAGTTGGGGCTGGAGAAGTTTCCAGAAGGTGCTGAGAGCACACCCCCACACTTGACACCTGGGGCAAGAGAGAAGGACGGCCCAGAATCAGTGCTGGGGACGTTGATGTGTTGATGCGCAAGGGAGGCTGGGTCCTGGTGCAGGCCCTGCCCCGAGGCAGTCCGCGGATCCGTGTGTTTGTTCATGGATTTATATATTCTTTAAATTCTCGTGAAGCATTCTTTCTTATTTATTCAGCAAATGTTGTCTGAGATGTCAGGGCATTGTTCTAGACATTAGGGTTACAACAGGGACAAAACAGAAAGTCCTGTCCTCACAGAACTTACCTTCTGGTGGGAAAGACAGAAAATACACATGAGCCGACTGTGAAATAATGGTAAGTGGAGAACAAAACAAGTGAGAAAGGAAAACAGAGGCAGTCGGCCCTCAACCCTGGATGAAACTGCACCACGTGCCAGGTCCTGGGTATGTGCTATCAGTGATTTTAAAAGTACTCAGCCTTAAAGAAGAATGAAATTATGGTATTTGCAGGTAAATGGATGGAGCTAGAGAATATCATGCTAAGTGAAATAAGCCAGTCCCAAAGAACCAAAGGCTGAATGTTTTATCTGATATGCAGATGTGAATTCACAATCAGGAGGGGCTAGGGAAGAATAAAGGTATTTTGAATTAGACAGAGGGGAGTGAAGGGAGAGGAGGGGGTAAGAAGGACAGTAGAATGAATCAGACATTATTACCCTGTGTGCATATATGACTACACAACCCGGTGTGATTCTACATCATGTACAACCAGAAGAATGAGAAGTTATACTCCATTTATGTACAATGTGTCAAAATGCATTGTACTGTCAGGTAAAACTAATTAGAACAAATTTTTTAAAAAGGAAAAAATTAATAACAACAACACCCTTCAGTGAAAACGTGCAGTCTGTTTACAGCATTCAAGGGCATAGGTACATACACATTCGCTTGTATTTTTAAAAGAGTACAAAAGGAAACTAATAAGAATGATTCTGTGTCAGGGGAAGGATACTAAATACAGGAAATATTGATGGCCAGTCCTCATGACACTCACCTTGTTTCATCATTTTGACTTGTGATCCCAGAAAATAATTCATATAATTTTAAAAGATAAAAAAAATTAATGAAACCCCTAAATATCCTCACTGGAAGCAAACCTAACTGTGTCAAGTTGGAGACATAATCTCATGGGAAAAAAATTATTACAAATGACTTAGGAATACTACACTTTAACTGCACCTGCCTAGTAGAATATATCCTGAGGTCAAAATGAGCCACGAAGAAATCTTAAACCATATTCAGCAGTCTTACTATTAGTAATAATATCAAATATTATTAAAAGTATTATAATATTTTTGGAACAAAGAAAATAAATATGTTAATGTCAATACAAAGCAGAATTTTCAGTGTAAGAGATAAGAGATCCAAATACTACAATAAAACTCTGTATCCTTAATATGAACTGAACATATCAATTTGAATTTAAAATTTATTTTTATTTCCAAAAAAATACTCTGTTCATTAAACAGGCCTAGAAGCAATGATATTTCAGTATGATTTTATACCACTAGACTTCAGATTAAGATTCTTATGCCCAATTGAACCAGGGCTCCTTAGAGAAATGGCTGATACTAGGTCTAGTACAAGAAATATGTAAAATATACTTGAATAGCTTTGTGTTAAAGAGCAAAGAAGGTACCATAGACTGCTGGGATTATGTGAAAGGACAGAGGAACTAAAAGTTATAAAAGAAGGTACAATTTGAGCTTCAAAAAAAGAATAACTACTAGAGTAGGTTGAAACATATCAAATATATTTTTAAAAACTCATGAATTCATAATGTGATGCAAAAGAAACTTATTGGTTTCTTTTAGAGATTGTTGAGACACTAATTTATTTTTGGAAAATTGATAAGTAGAAAGGAAAATACACTAAGCTTCTACTTTGCCACTCCCACATGGACTGGATTTTCAAACAACCAAATAGCTGGTGAAGGAAAATTATTTTTATAGACAGCTGCAGAAAGAATAACAGCATTAGAAAATCATAGTTTTGCAAATCTTAATGAAATACTGGATGTATAAACATCATCAATATCTATTCTAATCACTGAGTAAAACATTGATGATAGGTAAGAACTAAATGGTTGGGTATATAGGTAGTCTCTATAAAGCTCTTTTGACTTTGTTAAATGTTTGAAATTGTTTATAATTTAAAAATAACAAAAGTTGATAGGTATAGCGGCCTGTGCCTATAATTACAGACACACGGAAGGCTGAGGCAGGAGGACCACAAATTCAAATGCAGCCTCAGTAATGTAGTGAGATCTTGTCTCAAAATAAAAAATTAAGAATGTAAAAGGGTTAGGGATGTAGCTCAGTGGGTTCAATCCCTAGTACTTAAGAAAAAGTTAAGTGGCTGGGGCTGGGGCTCAATGGTAAAGAACTTGCTTTGCATGTGTGAGGCACTGGGTTCAAGCCTCAGCACCACGTAAAAATAAATAAAGATATTGTGTTTTCATCTACAAGTAAATAAATATTTTTAAAAAAAGGAAAAAAAAGTTAATATGGAAATTTATAATGGATGAATCAGATTAATAATTCCTGAACCCACCAATAAATCTTATTGTCAAGGTGCAACCTTGGACAATCTGTAATACATACCACCACCTATAAAGTCTTCTTGGAAAAATAAAATAAAGGAACTTGAATTTAATAAAGACTCTGGATCCATCTATAAGTTAGAGTGAAATGGAGGGGGATTTGTGTGTGTATATGAGGTTGTGCTGGGGACCGAATCCAGAGCCTCATACATGCTAAGCAAGTGCTCTACCACTGAGCTACATCCCCAGCTCTAGAGGAACTTTTTTAAAAAATGAACTAAGTTAGGAGGTTTTTTCCCATGGGTTTCACTGTATTGCCCAAGCTGATCTTGAAAGCAATGCCCAGGCTCCCTGGCCCCTCAGCCTCCTGAGTAGCTAGGCCCCATGTGCACTTGGCCTAGACAAACATTTTTTTACTTTTTTTTTTTCAGTTATAGATGGACACAATATCTTTATTTTTATCTATTTATTTTTTTAATGTGGCGCTAAGGACTGAACCCAGTACCTTATGCTTGCAAGGCAAGCACTCTACCACTGAGCATCAACCCCAGCCCCTAGACAAACATTTTTAATGACACTTCAGGGATATATTAAGCCAAGTCCAGAACATAGGATATTGTATAAGATTAAATATTCGGGATACTTTAACAACAAATGATGGGTGGGGGACACATGGTTATGTTGAAAGAGTCAAATACAAATATAATGTATGAACATTTTTGAATTCTGATTTGAACAAATGAACTGTAAAAAAGACTTCTTAAGGCAATAATTAGGGAAAACTGGGCATGAACAGAATATTAGATAAAATTAAAGGAATTATTCCATTATAATGATATTGGGGTTAATACGGTTTTATGTCTTTCTAGGTTATAGGTATATCCTGACATATTTGTGTGTGAAATATGAAATCAGCTTTAGATTCTTCTAGAACCATCAAAATGGGAAACAAGAAAGGTAGAATGTTAACTGTTGAAGCTGGTTGATGGAGATAAAGGGATTTATTATACAACTTTTCTCTACTTTGTATAGGTTCAAAACTTTTTGTAATTCAAATTTTATTATGACATTTTACCACCCTACTCACAATCAAGAGCCCCTTCCACTCCTTCCTCCACTCTTGATTTAGTGTTGTATTTTTCTTCTCACTATGCATCACTATCTAACACGTTTTTACTTGGGTAATTCAGTTCATTGCTAGTCTCCCTCCATGAAAATGGAAGCTCCATGAGAGCAAGGATTGTGGTCCCTTTTGTTCCCTGCTATATCCCAAGCCCTAGCATCAGTGCCTTCTTACCAAATGGATGAGTGAGTGAATGACCTCAAATAATGTTCACAGCAGCCCATGAAAGGCAGGGCTTTCACTGACTCCATTTTACATATGAGAAAACAGCTGCAGAGGGAAGCTATTTACCATCTATTGCTTTGCTCAGCACCTGCCCTCTACCTCCTGCTCCCCTTCCTTGCCCTGCAGGCAGACACATGAGCCTAGCAGGGCCATCCTTGGAGCCTGCCATTGCAGGACCAGCCTATTGGATGTGCCTGTGCTCAGGTGGAGGCCAGAGTTCTGCTCAGAACATCGGGATGGGATTCCTTTCCTTTATAGTCTCTAGTCTAGGAGTGGGAGCCCTGGGTAGGACCAGGCATGGGGTCTATGAAAGACTCCTGGTGGGCAATTTGCAAGAACCATGTGAAAAGTGAAATTGGCCCTGGGATCAACAGGTCCTGGCTGCTGGCATCCCTGAGCCCACCTCAGCTACACCCCTGCCTCCCTGGTTCCATTCACAGTGCTGCTTTGTTTTGCTTAAACTCATTCAGGTTGAGCTTCTGTCACTTGCACCTAAAGGTGTCCTGAAGAATACACTTGACTAAAGTCCCCAGAGGTGAGACACATGCAGCAAGTGCATGCCCCAGCAAGAAAGTAACTAAGGCTAATGAGGGATGTGGATGGCTTCCTGGGCAGCTCAGGGAGGGTGCAGAGGCAGGATGGGAGAGTCAGGCGAATGAGACAGAGTGCAGTGTGACTGTGCTGTGGCTACACAGGAACTTTGGAGTCCAGAGTGAGGGAAGCTGATCTGTCTGGAGACAACAGTATTAGGTGAAGGACAAGAGTTACAGAGATGATGATATTGAGTTTGACCAAGAAAAATGAGAAAGTTTTGCTATTTGGGGAAGACTGGTGAGAAAGGACACAATCGCTTGACCTCTGTGTGCCTCAGTCACATGCCTATAAAATGGGGATGCTGCTGTCTTCTTTGCTGGGTAGCTATGAGCTGGCTGCACAGATGTACATTGGGGTCACATTGTCGGCTCCCTGCCTGGTCCCTGGGCAGGCCAGTGCCAGCAATAGTGTCTGGTTCATGCCTTTATGGCAAGAGAATAAAGAGACATTATATCCAGTGCCTGTCCTTGTCCTTCCCCCAGTCTTGCCCATAGGCAGGAAAGGCCATAAGAGTATCAGAGCAGAACTCCTACCGCTCAGGTGGCCCAGGGCACCAGGACAAGTACAGACCTTGTCCATAAGAACCCAGCCAGGCATGCTGAACCTTAAGGTCACTCCAAAGCCATTGGAACCCTGGTGGCTGGAAAATGGGAATGACTAGCTCCTCCTGCTGCTCAGGCATGGGCTGAAACACGTGAGTGTCCATCCCATCTCTGCCAGCAATGAGGTGACTGAGCCCCCTTGAGCTTGAGGAAGATGGGGCACTGACAGCTGTTTGCTGAGCCCTCCATGCATCCCTTACAGAAGGGTGAAATTCTATCAGCCCAGCCTACCGAATGGAACAACAAGGAACACTGACTCTGGCGCAGTTGGCAGTGGGAATGCAGCCGGCCCTCAGGAGGACAAAGACTTGTTCCTGTGAGGAAACTTTAATAGTTCTCTGGGCCATTCCCTTTGCCCTTCATGATCCTGTGGCCTTGGATGAGTTCCTTAACATAGCTAGCCCTCAGTTTCCTATAAAATGGGGACTGATACCACCTCGAAGTTGGTTGTGAAGATGAAATGTAATCATGTAGGTAAAGCCTCCGGCAGACACCGGCTCTAAAGAAATATTCTCTTCCCCATCCCAGAAACAAATCCTCAATTCAGCTAGCCTCCACTAAAAAGGGCCTCCTACTTTCTGGTTTCTCACATGGAAACCTCAGGAGACCCTGGCTCTGCCTGCTCCCCACTCCTGGCTCTGACATCTCCAGGCGCTCCTACCTTTCATGGCCTGGGCCCTGGGGCCTGGGCCCAGCAGTGCTACAGCCAGCAGCAGGCAAGACCCCAGCTCTGTCAGCATCTCCTCACCAGGGGACCCCACAGGGCTGCAGAGTTCAGGTGAGCCTGGATCTGAGGGTCTGGAGCAGGGGAAAGAGAGGTGAGGCTGAAGGGGCCTCCAAGTTAATGGTGGCGTGAATAATTCATAGGCCCCTCGAATTAGTAAGCTGATCCCCAGGTGCTTCCTTCACTCCACTCTAAGGTGACGGATCTAGTGTCACCAGGTTGACACGTTCTGAGATCTGCACTGGCCAGACTCTGTCAGGAAGGCAAGCAGCTTGGACCTGGAAGGAAATTGGGTGGTAGAGAAAGGGCCTAAGTAGCAGGGCCAGGCAGATCTGGGATCAATCCCAGTTCAGCCTCTAACTTGAACAGGTGACTTAAACAAGTCATTTAACCTGTGTGGGTCTTGTGCTTCTCATAGTCCAGTGGGTCCATTCTAGGACGGTTGTGAAAAGAGAATGAGAATGTGAGCTAAAAGCATGCAGTAGGAACTTACTACTGTTTTTTTCCTATTCTTCCCTTATGGAAACCAGAAGGAACCTCAAATGCATGGAACAAATGGACAAGCTTCCTTCAGATGTGAGAATTAAACACAGAAGGAGAATGAAGGAGGATGGCAGAAGGAGACAAGGAAAAGTCTTTCTGATGAAAAAAATGCAGCAGGAGAGCAGAACTGGCGCTTGAGTTATGTTGTGCAGCTCCTACTAGCTCTGGGCCACAGTGAGCATTCTGGCCAGAAATATTACATGTTGGTTCCTTTACTGATCCACAAGCCTTGCTTGAACATCACTATGCCCAGAGCCAGACCCTGGGCAAGGAGCTGGGGCTGCAGAAATGCCCTCATGGCTCTGTGTCCAACAGGAAATAGGGCCTTTTTTCTCTCTGAGAGTTGTCCCTGTGGGTCAGTTCAGTTTAACATGCATTTCTAAGCTCCACCTCTGCAGAGTCTGGGCCAGGCACAGGGGCTTTGGAGGGAAACTAGCCTCCTTTCCAGGGAGGCCCTTGGGCTCTGGTTTCTGACAGACTGAGGTCTGAATCCTGGTTCTACAGCTGCCTCGCTGAGGGGGTCTGGGAAAGTGACCTGAGTTCTTGGAGGCCCAGCTTCTTTGCTGGGGAAGGAGTAGTGGCAGCAGCTGCCTGCAGTTTGCGGGGAGGATTGAATGAGATCACGTGAAGGATGTCTCAGCCATCCTGGCCTTGTGTGAGAACCAACAAGGATGTTTTTTATTTACCCTAGAGGACTCAGATGTCCATTTTCCAGACCACATGTTGCCTCTGGCCCACCCTTCTGTCAGGAAGTCCCCAAGGAGCCCTTGGCTGCCAGCACAGGAGGCCACCTAGAAGGTGTTCAGCAAGGAGCATCAGGAGTGGTCAGCCTGAAGGGTTGGCTCACCTGTGGGCCTTGACTGACAGAAAAGAAAGGTTCTGGGCAGCCTAGGGCTGAGCTTCTATTAAACATTCCTACCCACTGTGGGTATGAGAGAAGGCCAGGGAGGGGGCCACCCAGCTCAGGCCAGGGGCCAGGCTGCAGACTTCTGACCTCCCCAGCACACGACGCACCCCTCATCAGACAGGCCCTGGGGTCTTGGGGTGAGTTCCTCCATGGGAAGACCCTGTGACAGGAAGCGTGGGAAGCGATCCTAAGGAGCACAGGGAAGGATGTGAAATGACATGGGTTGGGGTGGGGGGCAACTCAGACTGTATGAGTGGGCAGGATGCCACTGTGGGAGACAGGGCCCAACCCCAGGGGCACCTCCGAGACAGTGCTGACTACCCTCAGGGTGTTCCACCTGAGTGGTAAGAAGCTGTGCTCCTGTCCCAACTGCCACTGACCGTAGGCCATATAGTACGTTCTCTCCAAGGCATGTCCAACCCACCTGTCCAGGGCCCCAAAGTTGACTGGTCTCCCCAAAGTTCTTACCTCCTAATATCACTGCCTTGGGGTCAGAATTTCAACACATGAATTTTGGGGGGATGTAAACATTCAGACCACAACATAACAGCTTCCTATTGGAATCCAGGATGGTCTGGTATAGTGGTGAAGGAAGAAGGTCCTCAAACAGAGACCACATGGGCTCAAATAAAAAATGTGGGCGCTACTAGCTGTGTGACCTTGGACAAGTCCTTTGACCTCTCCAGGCCTCTGTCCTCATCTGGGAAATGAGGAGAGTGGCATCTACAGAATGGGTCAAGGCATGGTGGTGTATGCGAGAGCGCTGCACACAGGGAGTCTGGAGGTGTGCTCTCCCTTATCCTACATTCCATCTGTATGAAATCCAAATGCTACACAGACCTCAGGGCTTCTTGTATTTTTCATTTTTAACCCATCTCTCCTTGAAGTGACCTCTGGGTGGGGCCTCCTGCTGCCAGGCTGCCTTTCCCTTCAATCAGCAGCCTGGTCATGGCTTTTCCCCTGGTCCCTAGGGGAGGTGGTGGAGAAGGAACAAAGGCTGCCACCTGCCAGGGTCATTAGGGTGTGTCCAAGCTACCCACAACATTCAACCCTGGGCGCCTGGGTGTCTGTCAGGCCCTGTTGTGCCAACTCCCATGAGCTGAGCTCTGAGGACCCACTCTTAAACTTCTAGGGGGGGTCTCTTGCCATAAGATTACCCTTCCCTCCATGGCTGGCTCTGCAGAACCCCGGAGCTAGGGGACACAGGATGTCTCTGAAGGAGTGTGAGCTCCACAAGGTTGTGAGTACATCATCCAAAGTCGGGGAACCGATGCTGTGTGTTTCTGTTGCTGTGCACACATGTGTACCCATCTCTGGGTGTACATTTGTCATCACCTGGGCACATTCTTTTCTGGGTATGTGAGTCACTTCAATATCTATGTAACGAACACCAAGTACACTAATCTCTGGGTGTGGCTGTCCCTTTCTGAGTGTGAATATGCTCTTGTGTGACTACTCACTGCTGTGCATTCATATCTGTTTCTTTGCACACAAATCCATCTTTGCACACACTCATGGATCACACATGCAGTGCTTCTGTCTCTGTGAATGTATCTATGGCTCTACTTCTAAATCTGTATGTACTGTGTTGTCAATGTGTCTATTTCTCCCTATGGATATATTCAAAGATTTCTGAGTGAATGTCCTCATTGAGTATATACATCCATGTCTCAGCACAAATCAGCATAAATGCTATAGCTGTGCATGTGCATAATTTTCCCAGGGACAAAGTGCCTCTCCATAGGCACACATAGTCCCACGGGGATGCAGCTTCTGCTGCTGTACAGATCTCTGTCTCTGGGTGTGCACATCTGTGCCTGGTGCATGTAGCTATGACAGCACATGCTTACATAGCTCAGGGCTGCACATCAGCATCCCTAGATGTCAGCGTGGATTTTTGGGAGTGGATGTCTATAACTGGGGTTCTTCTCTGCATCAGTTCTGTCTTCATTTCTGTATCTGTCACTGGTTTCTGGGTACAAGAATGGTGTCTTCCCTATTCCCTGGGCCAGTCGTGAGGACTTGGCAGAGGACAGGGCCAGGGAGGTCTGTCCACCCCTGGGGTCTCGTGGCTGGGTCCCAGGAGCCACATCTCCCTCTTACTAAAGGTCAGGGGAACCTTGGAGAATTTCCCCTGAGTGTGGCCCTGGGGCAGAGGCCAGGAGGTAGGGACATGGAGCAGCTTCCACCTTCAGCTCCCTGAAGTCAGTAGGGTCTAGCTTTGTCTGGTGATGGCATGTCACACTCCACACTTACACTGGAGCCTGTTAGGAAGTCATGGGGTCTACACCATGGGAAAGTGTGTGTGCAGGGCTTGGGGTGTCCCTGGACGACAGAGGAGGGGAAGGAGATGAGGAATGGAACACAGGAAAGAGAAGCGACAGGTCCAAGAGAAACGGGGGAAGCCGGGAGCAAGGGAGGTGATGGGGTGGGCTGGGGTCCCCAGGTGGTGGAAGGTGGCTTATGGGGTTTGGGTGGGTCCTCGCACCTCTGGGAGCCAGATCCCCACCCCAGGGCTAGGAGGCCACATCCTCTCTTTCCGAGTCTCTATTTTTCTCTGGCAGTCACTCTGTCCTGTTCCTGATCCCAGAGGCTGGGGTATGGAAACCACCTCAGAAATGACATGCCAGAAGTCTAGATGGGGCCAAGGACAAGTGTTCCAAAGAGCCCCTGGACAAGGGCGTGACCTTCTTGGCCTCCAATTCCTGGATAGTTGAGAAGAAAGTAAGGAAGGGTTGGAATCGCTGCCATTTGCAGACCCCCATCCCAGCTCTGCACCCTTGTTCACTGAGACTCCACCCTGCAGGGAAGGAGGTCCTGTTTCCATGTCACAGATGAGAAAACTAAGGCCCAGCACCCGAAAAGACCTGCTCCTGGACCTGGGGCTGGGCAGAGCTGGGGCCTGCTGTCCTGGGACTGGCAGGAGCTTGGGGAGTCAGGCAGAAAATAGGCCCCTTCAGAGGGAAGCTACCCCTCCAGCAAGGGGCAATTGCTCTCACCTATATTTGAGTAGAGTAAAGGTTTGGGTTTGAATCTCCCCTGACTTGGATCCTAGTTCCACATCTGATATGCTGTGTAACCTTGGTCAAGTTGGTTCCCACTTTGAGCCTCAGTTTCTACAATGTGTGAAGTGGGGTTCCTAGTCTTACCTTACCTCATCAGACTGCTGGGGACTAACCACGTGATCCTGGAGGAAAGGGGTTCACAGATGATGCAGCGCTGTCCCACGGCAGGGGTCTGCTTTCGCAGGTGGCTGAGCACTGACAGCAGCTAGTACGATGACTCAAGTGGACATGTTCTGAGCTGGGATTCTGCCAGCTTGATGCACAGTCGCTTCATCTAAGGCTCACTGTGCCCTCTGAGGACGCAGCACTGTCCACCTCACATAATGGGAAGCTGGGGAGAAGTTGCTGCCCAGGCTCCCACAGCCCCTAAGCAGCCAGGACTTCCTGCCTGCAACAGGAGCTCTGGGCCGCCAGATGGGGTCACCGGGGAAGCCTGAGAGAGAGGATTTGCAGAGGCCCAGAAGGCAGAGGGGGTGAGGAGATACACAAAGCAAGCCTCCCGCTGGCCCAGCCTCTCTCCTCCCCCTCCTTTGATGACTAATTAGCCTTACTTCTTTGGCCAGGCCAGGCGCTAACAAGCCAAGGTGCAGCAGAGGAAGTCCATGGTTACATAAGGGAAACTGCCCCGTGCCCTTCCCTGACCCATGGGAGCCCGCTGGGATGGCTGTTCTGGACTGTGACCTCCAGACAGTTGTCTGGAAGGTTTTGCTGCCCCATCTCACTCCTTGGGGCCTCCTGTCCTCTCCCCTTCTCATCCTCCATTCCTCAGCTGCTCATTCACAACCAGGTCTCAGGGACAAGAGCAGCTCCGTGCAGAGCCTTCCAACATGCTTTGTACTGACACCAAGCCTGGAAACTCCCTGCTCCACAATGAAGCTTTCAAACTTCAACATGTGGGGAAGCACATACGGGTACCAGAGGTATCAAAGCAACCATTGAGTTCCTACTGATTTCCAGGCACATTCTTATGCAGCCATATATCCAAGTTATGAGACCTTAGGCAAATTCTTTAAACTTCCCTCCATGCCTCTGTCTCCTCATCTGTAATATTTGTAAAGAGTTTAGAAGAAGAGACATGTCCATGTGATAAGCTGTATTTACACATTCATTTAAATTAACTTTACAGGGTACGGAGTATCAGTTCCACTTCACTGTATGGTAAGTGGAGTTCAGAGATCATTGCTTTTAACAAGCATTTATTGAGCACCTACTCTGCCAGGTTTGAAACTTTATGCACTTCATCTCATTTAATCCCCACAGCTGAGGAGGCGTTAGTATCCCTCAATATTTCTTTTTTTTTTTTATTTTTCAACTTTACTGTATTGATCAAAGAAATGCAAATTACTATAAGATACAATTCTTCTACTTCATCAGCAAGATTTTCTAAAAATAAATACTCAATAGCAAGAATATAATGGACAGACAGTACCCCAGTACCACACAAAAATAAGTAAATAATAAAATATATTTTATTCTATCCAGGAGTTTTGGATGTCTTTTGGATGTCTGTCCTCAATATTTCTAAACACCCCCTTGTGGGCAGTCCTACCCTAGTTGACACCCCTGGCTGGTTATTATCTTCCAGCACATGGACACCAGGACAGCAGAGATCTAACAGGTCTGGGCCACCAGACGGGGTCACCTAACAGGTTCAGTGCTATATTTCAGCCTATGGTGCAGAGTTAAGTGGTTAACAAATAGCTAATGAGAAAAGGAATAAAAATATTCCCAGTTTTCAAATATGGGAACTAAAGTTCAAAGAAGTGAAGTGATTTGCCTGAGATCACACAGCTGCTCAGTGGCAGAGCTCAGGTTTGAACCTCCCATGTGACTAGCTTGAGAGCCTATATTCTTTTTTTTTTAAGAGAGAGAGAAGAAAGAAGAGAGAGAAAGAAGAGAGAATTTTTTAAATATTTTTCAGTTTTCAGTGGATACAACATCTTTTTTTATTTTATGTGGTGCTGAGGATCAAACCCAGCACCCTGTGCATGCCAGGTAAGCACATTACCACTTGAGCCACATGGATCCCCATTTGTGGAAAGGAAGAAGAGGTCTGAATTGGGGTGCAAAGTCAGGGTGGTATAGATGTCTGCAGGGGCAGGTAATTGAGACCAAGACCCTGCAGACCCCTTCACAAGTGCCCTGGCTTCCTCCTTTCTCCACTTGGCCCACCCATATCTCCCCAGGCTGCCCGTCAAGCTAGTCAGGGGAGCAGTGCTTCCTCATCAGGTCTTCCATCAAGAAGCAGGGCCAGGCGAACTCCCACAAGTCCAAAGGCCGAAGCTCCCACGCTCAGCCTCAGGGGCATCCTGGCTGCACAAAGGCTCACACAGGAGCTCAAGGTGAGTGCAAGTATGCCCAGTGGAGGAGGCCAGAGGGGATGCAGAGGGCTTCAGAGAGCAAGCCCACCCCTTCTGCCTATTTTCTGGGTGTATGAGCTGAGGCCCAGAGGGAATAGAAAGAAAAGATCCCTGCACTCACTGAATGTCTGCTGTGCATCAGGGAGAATGCAAGACTTTGCACGTTGCTGTAACAGCATTTGCAGAGCCCAGGAGGAGGTGCACACCCCTGGAATCAAGGCCCTCAAGAACCCAGCAGAAAACACAGCAGGTGTTTAGACATATTTGCTCCATACCCAAATGAATGAGTCGTGCAATCCTCAGAATCATCAGGGAAGGTGGGAATTACCATCTCACGGAGGAAACAGGCTCAGAAAGGAGGGAATTGACCACAGCTTCAGATGCTGCTGAGAATGACCTCTGGACACCAGGGACCTTATCGGAGGCAGCTGCGGTAGAAGGGGAGTGCATGCCAGATGGAAGTGGGGTGAGAAGTGGAGGGTGCCGCAGTCCGGCAAAATGCCAGGCGCCATCCAGACTTATTTACAGACCTTAACAGGAGGGAGGTGAGAGCGGAGGCTGTACAGGTTATGGGCAGCTCTCCAAGGATAGGCTGAAAATATGAAGGTGAGAGAGAGAAAAATAGAAGGAACATACTGGAATAGCATGAAGGTAAGGTGGGCCGTTGTGTGTTTCTCTGCTTTAGCACGGGGAAACCGGGACAGGCTAAGATCCATTTACTCAGAGATTCAGAGAACCACTGAACTGGGCCTGAAGGCTTGCCTCTTTGTAAAGACCCCCAGTCTCCTCAGAGGGGCAGAGGAAGGCAGCTGAGCAACTTTACATACGCAATCTCCTATATTCCTCCAAGCCACCTGGGAGGAAAGGAATTAGCACCCTCATTTTACAGAGGAGTGGTAGCTAATCCATGGTCTTGTGGATTCCATCAGCTTCTTTATTCATTCATCAGTCACCACGGCAACACTTACTGTCCACTGTGCTGGATTGGGGGATAAGTGGGGAGGGGACACTGTATTGAGCCCAGCCTCGTGCAATAACACCATTTTCTCCTATCACTATTTTACCTCTCTAACATCTATTTCTTTGCTACTGATCCCTAAAGACTAAGCATTAAGGGAGATCATGTACGGAATGCTGTTGATTTGCCACCTGTACACCCTGCCCACCCTGGAAGCACCTGCCAGAAGTTTTCATGTGCCTTGCTAGTTCCAGGTTTCTTACCTGAGGTTTTTCAGGCTGCCAACACTGAGGCCACTCAGGAGAGGCCAAACATGCCTGTTCAGCCAGTAAAGGAGTAGGCTTGTGGTGAATAAATGCCCAGCTTCCTTGTCCTTCAGTGGCATGATTCTGAGGTGTGTTCCACTGTCTTTTGCATGGACCACGGCAGGCGAATCTCCAGTTGCTGCCAAGGGTAACCTGCCCACCTACACCCTTTATCATCTTTCCTTCCCAACTGTCTCACCATGTTTCCCTGAGTTACCTCCCATATAAACTTCTTGTACCCAAATCCTTGCTCAGAGTCACCTTTGGGACAAACCCAGCAGTTGACATTCAGCAAATGTTCACCTCAATGCTTGTCCACATTTTTACAGAACTGGACATCTACGAGGACACAACTGGAACTGCATTACTGTCCACCAATCTGCACCATCCAGGAGCAAGTATGGGCCAGCAGCCTGCGGGTACAACGAGGGTGAGTGGGCCAGGCTGTGGGCCCCAAGGCACTTTTTTTTAATAGACTGAAAACTGGATTAATCTCTGCCATCCACAGAGCACTATGCAGTTTATAAAGCTGTTTTCTTGTGTTTAGATTCTGCATTGCATTTTCCATACCAGGGTTCCAAATCATATGCTCCAACTCAGGGGTCTATGTCCAGCATATTTGACCTCAAATTCTGTTTGTTGCAAACACACCCCCTCGTCCCCCTCCTCTCCTCCTTCCAGGTTCCCTCATGATCAGCCAGGCCAGAGGTGAAGTTCCCCTGTGTCCAGGCAGAGGAACTGATGCAGACCCACCTGCCCTCCAAGCTGGCTGGTGTGGCCTACCATCCAGGCCAGTGTGCCTACCTGGCTGCCATTCTGAGTCCTGAGATCAGGGACCCATCCCGCTATAAGCTAGTGTGTTCTGTCAGCATTGAGAGTAAGGGGCATGATGGTGTGGTGGTCGCCAGCCAGAGCCTGTGGGACCCACATGCAGACCTATTTGCCACCTCCCACTATGTGAACTCCACGCTCTTCTGCGTGGCATTGGTGCATGTCATCTATTTAAAATGAGCCTCGTGGGGTGAGGGCCTGGGATCCACATGGGGTCCCATAATAAGGCCTGGCATGGAAACTCAGTTCCTAGCCCACTAGTCAGTGACCACCTGTGTGTGTAGCAGCCACCTGGCAAGGACAGCAGCTTCCCAGATCCTTCGCCAACTAAAAGGAAAGGGAGCAAGGTGCATCTCCCCCGACCCCTCGGCAAGCTGCCAGACCACACACGCTGTTGCCGCCTCTGCCTCTGGCTGGGATCATGTCAGCCACGCGCAGCTCCCAGCTGGGTGTGCAGATCAGAAGCTCTGAGCCGCAGCTATCTATGTCTTTGATTAATAAAAAATGGGAGATAAATTAATAATGACTTAATACTTGCAATTTGGGATCAAAATTTTCCAAAGCATGGGAAAAATAATAAAAAGAGGAGTTTTTTTTCATTTGAGTCAGAGTCTTGCTGTGTTTCCCAGGCTGACCTTGAACCCTTAGGTTCAAGTGATCCTCCTGCCTCAGCCTCTTGAACAGCTGGGACTACAGGCACGTGGCACCCTGCTGGGCTGGGGAATTCTGGACAATAAAACATAGGAATAAATGCCATCAGTCATGAGCCAAGTGCTGTTGGGTAAGGCCATTCAAGAGTAGCCTCACAGCAAGGTGCTGTGCTTAGGTGCACACATGTATCCCTCACCCTCACTGGGATGAAGGACAGATAACCTGGGAGAGGATGCTACCTTCCACCATCTTATAGAGCAAACTCAGACTCAGAGAAGCACAGTTAGTTCTTGTGGGTCACAGCAGAGAATCACTTGAACTTGGTCTGCTTCATTTAAATGGAAAAACAAAATAATCCCCCCGGCCAAAAAAAAAAAAAGAAGGAGAGGGAAAAGCCTACAACAGTGGTGTCTGGCAAATCATTATGGGTTAAGTTTATGGGGAAAAGAAGATGTCCAAGCAGAAGGAACACTCAGACAGCAGGAGTGCTGGGAATGATTTATACTCCTTCTTGCTGGGTCCCTGACATCTAGAAGAGGCCCTGGCATGGTACAAGCTCACAGTCTTGAATGAATGACTGAAGAGCTTGGAGGCATAAAGGGAACCTGTGTGAGGTGGGAGAGAGAGAGTGGATGTTTGTAAGCCCATAGTTTGTGAAGAGCGTTGCAACTTGAGGTCAAAATCACATTTTGAGATTACACACACACACACACACACACACTTTAAACTGGGGATTGAACTCTGGTGTAGTTTACCACTGAGCTACATCCCCAGTCCATTTCATTTTTTGAAACAGGATCACTAAGTTGCTGAGCCTGGCCTGGAACTCATGATCCTCTTGCCTCAGTTTCAAGTCACCAGGATTATAGGCTTATGCCCCGCCACCATGCCTGGTTCACATTTGATTTTTTAAAATATTTTTTAGTTGTCAATGGATCTTTTATTTATTTATATGCAGTGCTAAGGATCAAACTCAGGGCCTCACACATGCCAGGCAAGCACTCTACCACTGAGCCATGACTCCAGCCCACATTTGATATTTTTAAAAAGATCTTTAAGGGTTAGGGCAGTGGCTCAGTGGTAGAGCGCTTGCCTGGCATGCTTGAGGCACTGGGTTCAATCCCTAGCACCACAAAAAATAAAAATAAATAAAGGTATTGTGTCCATCTACTACTAAAAAAAAATTTAAGAGATCTTTAATTATAGAATTATTTAAAACAAAACAAAATAGAAAATATTAGCAGATATCAGTGAATCCATTGCCCAGATTAACCAGTTCACATTTTGCAATGTTCATTTCAAATATTTTTAATATAATACAAGTACAGATGCAGCCTGAGACCCCACCCAACTCCTCTGTCCATCACCAGAGCCAGCCTCATGCTTGCAGCTGGTTCCTCAACTCAAAAGGCAGCATTACTTTGGGTTTTAACAATTTCTAAGTACAGGTGTCTCACTGTACCTATCCTTTCACAACATGCAATTCACATCATTATGGTGTTTTTAGGATTTAGTCTATGTTGACAGATGTCTAGTTCATTCATTTTAACTGCTGTCTGATGTTCCACTGGATGAATAAGAACAATTTGTTGGGGCTGTGGTATGGCTCAGTGACAGAGTGTGCTTCGCACTCGTGAGGCTCTGGGGTCAATCCCCAGCATCAAATGAAAAAGAGGAACTGTTCATTTTTTCTCTTCTTCATGGACATACAATTTTTAGTTTTTGTTGTTTTGAACAGTGCAGCAATAAAAATCTTTATACATATCTCCAGGTGCATTCATGTGTCATATATAACCTTTACAACAATCAGGAACTTGTGTTGCCTACATGACCTTGAAGAATCACTCAATGACTTGGAAGCTTAGTTTCTTCATCTGTAAATTGGGGTAATAAAATAGCATAAATATTTGTTAAGATTCTGTGCTTCAATGAATATGAAAAGCATTCTGCCACCTGTCACTTGATCCATGAATATTGCTTATCACTCAAGTATTTGACCTTCAGGATGTACTGCACACCCTCTCTGCTGGGGAAGCAGTGGACTGGGCTATGCAGGGCCCTTGCTGTGCTCAGTCTGATGGGTGTGGCAATGGAAGAACTTAAGAGTCTCTGCTCACTGCTCCAGACTGGGGTGGAAGAGGCAGCAAGGATTCCCAAAGAAGAGACACTGAACCAGGAGTTCAGAGGATAAGAAGGTGAAAAATGAGAGTGGGAGACTGGAATCAGGAGGTTGGCCAGGCAAAGGGAGCAGCAAGTGTGAAGGGAGCAATGATACCAGAGAACACGTATGGAGTATAAGAGGTGGGCACAGAGCAGGTGGCAGCACAGGACAGGTCTGGAGAGGTGAGCAAAGCTGAGATGCCATATCCTGAAGGTAATAAGGAACCATGGAAAGACTTTAAGTAGGACAGTGATAGGCATGAATTTGCACGTTAGGAAAATCAGTCTGATTAGTGTAGAGCAGGGCCCAAAGGGGACAGCCTGAGCCTAGAATAAGTCCAAGACCTATCTGATCACAGAACTGTTGTCACTTTGTTGATTTCCTGATGCCTTTTGGTCATGTCCAGCTCCTAAGTCTCCTTCTTCCACTGCAATATCACACAGTGGCCACCACCCACAGCACTTCCCCGATGGCCTACATAAGGCACCAGCAGGAGATAGGAGGGATGGACCAGCTGCCCAGAGTCTCATCCCCAATCCCAAGAGGTCTGTTTTCACACATCTTAACCACTCCTCCTCTTCTGGGGCTCACTAGGCACCCTGCAAGGCACAACACCCAGACACAAGCTCTCAAGTATCTGATGATAGGAGTCCTTTTGATCTTGGCACCAAAGGCATGGCTAGGTCCTCACCAATGTCCCTGACAAGTGATCCCGCCAACAGCCAGACTACACAGACTCTATGTGGAGGGAGGGGAAGGATGACCACTCTAGGACAAGAGGGGCTGTTGACCATGAGGTGACCTTGTCTAATACCTAAATATTAAATCTCTAAAATGGCACAAAGAAAAATATGAAGGAACTGACCCAGACCTTTACTCTCTAAGTGAGGACCCCCACTCCACCCTTAGTTATGAGTGAGCGTACTCTCCATCCACAGGGGCACAGTGGCATGTCCCTGGCCTTCCCTAGGTTAGGTAAAGCCCTAGAACTAGCTTACTTCTAGTCCTACTCCACACTCCATTTTTTCAGATCTACAAGTTTAACCCCTGCCTTCCTGGCTAGGCTGGAGCTCCTTGACAGAAAGGCAGCACTTGCCCACTGTTGTTTCCTAAGTATCTAGAACAGAGTCAGGCTCATAACTGCCTCCAAAAACCCTTAATGTAGAGTCCATAGGATGTACTGGCAGAGGGCAGGACAAGGACACTGGCAAGAGGTTACAGGGGCCCTGAAGAAGGGAAAGTGTCTTGCCCCAGGCACAGGTCAAGCAGGAGATCAACAGTCCCTACTTGGGAGCTCTGTCAGGGCCTTTTCCTTTCATTGCACTGTGCTGGAGAGAGCCTGGCCTTACAGAAGTGTTCTAGAGGAAAATGCCTGAGAAACTCTGGGTTAAACCAAATGAAACCCGTAGTCTTCTCAAAGCCTTTAATATGCTCACATGTGTATGGTTTTGGAGGTCACATCCAGCAACCCTTCCTCCATCTAGCACAGAATCCCTTCCTATAGAACAGTGTGAACCCTTTGCATGTCCTTTCTGTTGCTTACCATGACTATTTGGTGAACATGGCACAGCACATTTGTTGTAACTTTTTTTTGGGGGGGAGGGAACAGGAAAATCCTTTCTGACAAAGTTACTCCACACCTCAGTATACAAATAGGATAAAAATAGAACTCTTCTGGCTGAGGTGGGGCCTGGAGATCCCTCTGGCCATCTTTTCACTGCTGTCATCCATGCAAGAGCCCTGTGGAGCCCATTTTGAAAACCACTGGTGGAGAACTATGAGCACAGGGTTGAAATAAGGAAACGTGTGGTGCCAGCTCTCCTGTTAACTCTTTCACCTTGGGCAAGTCATTGGGCCTTACTGGGCCTTGACTTCCCCATTTATATCATTCTGTTGGACTAGA